GTCCCTCAGCGCATCGTCCCCGCCCGGTGTGGCGATGCTCATCAGCAGGGAGGACGCTAAGAGGAGCGCGCGATGGGGAATGAGGGTCCCGCACGCCCCAAGAGTGCGTGTGAGAGTTTGTCGATGGGCTCTGGTTGTGGCTGAATAAACCCCTCAGAGGCTCTTGTGTCCTGCTCTCCCTTCAGCCTTCCAGCCCGGAGAAGGAGGTGGAGAGGGATGTGTTCCTGTTCCGAGCCTACATCGCCCAGGTGAGGCTGAGGCTGCACTGGCTGAGAGGATTGGGAGGCACAAAGTCAGTCCAGGATGGGTGGAGGTTGGAAGGAGCTTAGCCCAGGTTGCTCCAAGCCCTGTCCAACCTGGCCTGGAGCACTCCCAGGGATGGAACATCCACAGCTGTCCTGGCAACCTGTGCCAGTGCCTCAGCACCTCCCAGGGAACAATTCTATCTCAATATCCTGTCTGTCCCTCCCCTCTGGCAGTGGGAAGCCATTCCCCTTTGTCCTGGCACTCTAGGACCTTTTCCATTCATGTGACCTTAAATCCCATCCTGTTCCAACCTTCCACCAGCCCAGGTTGTTCCAAGCCCCATCCAGCCTGGCCGTGGCCATTCCCAGAGAGCATCCACAGCTGCTCTGGACAACCTGTGCCAGAGCCTCAGCACCCCCACAGGGAGGAATTCCTTCCTGACATATCCACGTCCTGGGAATGCTGCATGATGTGGAAATAACTCCTCCTTCAGCACTGGAATATGTCAGTGGTGTAGGTGTGAGTGCAGTGTGAAGTGTGGAGGGTTAGGGTGACCTGGTGACACCTTCCTGGAGGTGGTTTGTCATTCCTAAATGGCACATGGGAAATGGCCCTTGTTGGGGGTAGGAAATAGGACCTTCTGCAGAGATTTGGGGAGGTCTAAGGTAGAAATATGCCTTTCCTGGTGGTGGTTGTTGTACTAACTGAGGGTTTGGGAATGAGCAATTGTTCACCTCATAAGGAAGTCATGGAATTGTCTCTGTTGCCTTTCCCAGAGGAAATATGGAGTTGTCCTGGATGAGATCAAAGGTAATGCCAGTCCTGAGCTACAAGCAGTGAGGATGTTTGCAGAGTATCTGTCAAATGAGAGCCAGAGGTGAGTGAGCACCAACCTCTGTCCTGCATGGAAATTGTGGAAGAGTTATCCAGAGTTGTGGGTTTTGAGGTGTTGCAGTGAATCTCCAAAAGGGAATTTCATAGAATCCCAAAATCAGGGAATGGTTTGAGTTGGAAGGACCTTAAAGCTCATCCAGTCCCACCCCTTGCCATGGGCTGGGACAATTCCTACCAGCCCAGGCTGTTCCATGCCCTGTCCAGCCTCCCTGGAACACTCCCAGGGATGGAGTAGCCACAGCTCTGGAGTTGTGTGGGACAGAGTCACTTTGTCTTACTTAGCAGCAACCCAATCCCACATTCCTTGCTGTCCACAGGGATGCAATTGTGGCTGATCTGGAGAAGAAGATGGGCAAGAGTGTGGATGTAGCCAACACCTGCTCATGGCTGCTTCCATCTACTGCCATGACAAGAACTTTGATGCTGCTCTGCGCACTCTGCACCAGGGGGAGAGCCTGGTGAGTGGAATGGAACCTCTGGGAGCAGGGAGGGATGTGCTGGGAGAGCCTGGAATGGTGAGTGGAACCTCTGGAAGCAGGGAGGGATGTGCTGGGAGAGCCTGGAATGGTGAGTGGAACCCCTGGAAGCAGGGAGGGATGTGCTGGGAGAGCCTGGAATGGTGAGTGGAACCTCTGGGAGCAGGGAGGGATGTGCTGGGAGAGCCTGGAGTGCCACAACCACAGCAACTTGTGCCAGTGCCTCCTCCTAGAACATCCTGAGTTGGATCCCAGAAGGATCACTGAGTCCAGCTGTGATTTTGCTCTTGTTCCTTGCAGCATGGCCATGATGATCCAGATCCTCCTGAAGCTCGACAGGCTCGATCTGGCCAGGTAGGTTCAGCTCCTTTGGTGTTATCATGTTGCTCTCATGTGCTGAGCCTTGAGAGGAGGAAATTCAACCCCTGCAGGGATACAACCTGTGTGCAGGTTTTGCTGCAACACCTTTTTACTCATCCGTGGAGGTGACAGATCTGGGTATGGCTAAAGCAGAGTTGGAGCTCTGGGGATAATCTTCTCTTCAGCAGAACATGGTTGGAATCTCTAGTCCTGAGTTTCTGCCTTCCCACAGGAAAGTCCTTCAGGGATTTTTCCAGTGATATATTGAAGTGTTTGTGCCACATTCCCAGCTCAGATGAGTTGAGAGGAGAAACCACAACTTTCTGTTTCCGTCTTTTAGACTCCTTTCCATCTTGTTACCATTTCTTTCTGCTGTGTGACTTCCCTTTCTGCAGGAAGGAGCTGAAGAAGATGCAGGAGCAGGATGAGGATGCAACTCTGACTCAGCTGGCAACTGCCTGGGTGAACCTGGCTGTAGTGAGTACCCAAAACAGAGATCCCTGAGCTCCAGCACCTGAGGATTCATTCCATGGCTTGTTCCTGGTGGCTCTTTTCACCTCATGGTCCCAGAAGAACATCCAGGGTTGGGTTTGAGTTGAGTTGGGCTGGGTTTGGGTTGGGTTTGGGTCTTTAACACTTCAAGTTCACAGCAGATATTGGCAGTTGGTTTCTCACACCCCATGGCTGGTTTGCTGGTCACTCTGTGCTCCTGGCAGGGAACATTTCCTCACAGAAAGGGCTGAACCACACTGGAATCATTCCCAAAGCATTCCAGTGGGGAAAGCTGCTGTGCTGCATCCAGACTCTGAGCCAAAACTGGCTGTGCTTAGAGCTGCCTGGCATTAGCAGCAGGTGATGCTACCTGTGGGTGTTCCCTCCTCTCTCTGCAGGGTGGGGAGAAGCTACAAGATGCTTACTACATCTTCCAAGAGATGGCAGACAAATGCTCCTCCACCCTCCTGCTGCTGAACGGCCAAGCAGCCTGTTACATGGCCCAGGGCAAGTGGGATGATGCAGAGGGAGTGCTCCAGGAGGCTCTGGATAAGGTATTGCCTCATTTCCCCAGCCACATTTGCTCTCAGGGGGGTGTTGAGGGACACAGTGAGGACTCTCACTGATCACATTCATGGAAACACCCAATAGTGATCCATGTTGCTAAGCCTGGAATAGTTTGGGCTGGAAGGGACTTAAAGCTCAGCCAGTTGCACCTCCTGCCAGGGGCAGGGACACCTTCCACTAGCCCAGGTTGCCAGGCTGGGCAGGAGTAGTTCTGTGCTGGTTGGAGCTGGGATTGGTGTAGTTTCCATATGGCTCAGGGATTGTTGTTGTTTCCAGGACAGTGGCCACCCTGAGACCCTCCTCAACCTTGTTGTCCTCTCGCAGCACTTGGGGAAAGCTCCAGAGGTGAGACCTGATGTCCTGTCCCTGTTGCTGAGGGCAGGATGTGTGTTCCTGGTGCATGGGGGAACACTTGGGCTGGGGAGCTCACACTTCCAGGATGTGTTTGGGGACGTACAGGTGGTGTAGGTGGCTCATGGGCAGGTTGGATGGGGCTTGGAACAACCTGGGCTGGTGGGAGGTGTTCCTGGGGTGGAATTAGATTATCTTTGAGGTCCTTTCAACCCAAACCATTCCATGTTATTGGGCAGAAAAAAATCACTTGAGCTCTGAGTTCAGCTCTCACTAATTTTCACTCAGACTCACCATTTAAGTACTATTTTGAGGCTATGCAGAGCTCTTACTGGTTTCTCTGGGACTGCTGGCATTGGGACGTTCAGATCAGGTGTTTGGCTGTGAACACACTGAGGTGTGATGTGTTTCACCTTTGGCTTCTTCTGTTGTTGTCTCAGTACTTAAATCTCTCATCCCATCAGGTCACCAATCGCTACCTGTCACAGCTGAAAGATGCTCACAAGAATCATCCCTTCATTAAGGAGTATCAGGCAAAGGTACAGAGCAGAATGGACTGGAACAGGATAGAAATAAAGAGTATTAAAAGAGATTTCTCATGTCTCAGACCAAGCTCTGATGGGCCAAGGGGATTCTCTCCCATGGCCTGAGGGAGCACCTTGTGTTCTCTCTCCATCACCAGCACATTGCTGGGAGATTTTGGGCAGCACAAGGCAGGTGTGATGGATCTGAAACTGGAACATCTGGAAGGAAAAGCTTAGATTGAGATTCTTAATCCAGCTGGAAGTTGTGTTTAAACAGAGGAAGTGTCCTTCTGGGAGAAAGAATTTGGGGAGAGGGGAAGGGAAAATGAAGCAAATTAGAAAGAACTGGCACAGGTGATTTGTTGCTCAGAATTCCTGTGGCCTCAGGGAATTGCTGGTGGTGGTTTCTCTCTCCAGCTCGTGCAGTTGATCAGTCAAGTTCAGGTTTATCCATTTCTCTTTGCTTTCAGGAGAATGACTTTGACAGACTGACCCTGCAGTATGCACCCAGTGCCTGAGGGGAGAGGACCAGGCTGCCACAGCTCTGTGCTACCTGAGGACTGAGGTTCATGTGCAATTCCACTGCAGGAACATGGAAAAATTCCCTCTGGGAGTCAGTCTGGCTGCACTCCTGCTGGCAGGGCCAGGGCTACACCTCTCTGTGACATTGAACTTGTAGCTGAAAGCCTTTCCTGGGCCCTGAAGTGTGTGTAAAGCACAGTGCAAATCAAGAGTATGCAACTGTCCCTGAAACATTCCTAATAAAGCCTTTTCTGGGTCTGTGTGCCCCTGGATTTCTGGAATTCAAGTGATGCCGCTCTGGGACTGAGCCCTGGACTGAGGGTGTGATGGTGGGAGAGGGTGAAGGGTAATTTTAAGCATCCTCATTGAGCACATGGATGAATCCTGAGTTGGGGATCTTCTTCCAGTCCAGATGACAACTCCTTTCCCTTCAGCATCCCATGGATCCCTGGTTGAAGGGATTGTTGCTGCTGTGGGGGAAAGCTCCCAAAACAACAACAATCCCATTGTTACAGGCTCAGCCTTGGCCTTAGCTGGGTAAAACACAGCAGCTCCTGTCCTGGAGCCAGGACACACATCCTGTGGCACTGCCCTTGTCACCAGGCCCTGCTGGGCCATGGTGGGGCTGAACCTGCTTGTCCTGGGACAGCAGGTGTCCCAACACTATGACTCTGCTGTCCTCGAGCTCCTCATGGGCATCTCCATGTCCCACCAGAGCCCCTGAGAGCAGATGTCCCTGTGGACCCCTCAGCTGGGCCCACCAACACTGGAATTATCCTTGGAATTATCACTTGGGGAGGGGTTTGTACTGTAAGTGTGTCCCACGGGTCCTTCCTTTGTGCCCCTCTGGCTGTGGTGGCCCTGAAAGGGCCCATTGTCCCCTCCCTTGGCTCTCCAGCTCCTTTCAGTGAGGGGTTATTCATGGCCCAGCCTGGGATGAATGTTCCCTTTGTGGAGCTGCCTGAGGGAGACTGAAAGGGGCTTGTGTGCTCGGGGCAGCCGTTCCCCACTTGATGGGCCATGATAAATTGACTTAAAAATGTAAACAATAAGAGCAAGTGGCACGGCAGGAGCTGTCGGGGGACACGGTGGGACCTCGGGAGGAACGAGGTTGTGTTTTCCCACTGCTGCCCCAGACCAGTGAGAGGTTCCAGAGAGCCTCAAGGGCAGAGGAGTGAATTTAGATGTGGCTAAACTAATTTCTCTTTTGGCTTTTCCCTATCAAGTTACAGCTCAGTGAGTACCCATGATGATGATGATGGTGGTGGAGGTGGCATTCAGTGAGGTCTTTCATCAGGGGTGACCTTTGGGAGAGAATATTTGCATCTCACAGGTGCAACTCATCATTCCAGACCCTTCTTAAACTGCAGCAAGTGCCCGAGCTGAGCTGAGCTGATATATTGGGCACACCTGGTCACTCTGTGCTGATATATTGGGCACACCTGGTCACTCTGTGCTGAGCTGTGGTGGTACATTGGGCACACCTGGTCATTGTAATGAGCTGTGGTGGCACATTGGGCACACCTGGTCACTCTGTGCTGATATATTGGGCACACCTGGTCACTCTGTGCTGATATATTGGGCACACCTGGTCACTCTGTGCTGATATATTGGGCACACCTGGTCACTCTGTGCTGATATATTGGGCACACCTGGTCACTCTGTGCTGATATATTGGGCACACCTGGTCACTCTGCTGAGCTGTGGTGGCACATTGGGCACATCTGGTCACTCTGTGCTGAGCTGTGGTGACATATTGGGCAAACCTCATCACTCTATGTTGAGATGCTTGAGAGGAAGGGATGGATCTGCTGCTCCTTGGAGGCTTGTGCTGAAAGGTAGGGAAAAAAGAGCTGGAGAAACAAGTTTTCTTTCTGTATCCAACATATCTCCTTCTGTATCAAATGACAGGAGAAGGTTTATCAGGGAGTTGGCACATGGAGCAGCTCTGTGTTTTTGGATGACCCTGCCAAGGTACTGTGGGACCCTCCCAGTCCTCACAGCCACCCAAAGGATGCCCCTGGGCACTTATCTGCTACTCTATGATCAATTATCACCTCTCCCCACAGAAATATCGGGTGCTCTTGCTCTGGGAGTTCCTCCAGCCTATTGTTGCATGAGAGAACCACTGGCTCTCTTGCAGAATCCCCTATTGGGTCCTCCTGCAGGATCTGCTGTCGGGTTCTCCTGCAGAATTCCCTGCTGGCACCTCCTGCACGACCTCCTGTTGGGTTTTCCTGCAGAATCTCCTGTCGGGTCCTCCTGCAGGATCTCCTGTTGGGTCCCCCTGCAGAACCTTCTGTTGAGTTTTCCTGCAGGATCTTCTGTCGAGTTTTCCTGCAGGATCTCCTGTCGAGTTCTCCTGCAGGATCTCCTGTCGAGTTCTCCTGCAGGATCTCCTGTCGAGTTCTCCTGCAGGATCTCCTGTCGAGTTCTCCTGCAGGATCTCCTGTCGAGTTCTCCTGCAGGATCTCCTGTCGAGTTCTCCTGCAGGATCTCCTGTCGAGTTCTCCTGCAGGATCTCCTGTCGAGTTCTCCTGCAGGATCTCCTGTCGAGTTCTCCTGCAGGATCTCCTGTCGAGTTCTCCTGCAGGATCTCCTGTCGAGTTCTCCTGCAGGATCTCCTGTCGAGTTCTCCTGCAGGATCTCCTGTCGAGTTCTCCTGCAGGATCTCCTGTCGAGTTCTCCTGCAGGATCTCCTGTCGAGTTCTCCTGCAGGATCTCCTGTCGAGTTCTCCTGCAGGATCTCCTGTCGAGTTCTCCTGCAGGATCTCCTGTCGAGTTCTCCTGCAGGATCTCCTGTCGAGTTCTCCTGCAGGATCTCCTGTCGAGTTCTCCTGCAGGATCTCCTGTCGAGTTCTCCTGCAGGATCTCCTGTCGAGTTCTCCTGCAGGATCTCCTGTCGAGTTCTCCTGCAGGATCTCCTGTCGAGTTCTCCTGCAGGATCTCCTGTCGAGTTCTCCTGCAGGATCTCCTGTCGAGTTCTCCTGCAGGATCTCCTGTCGAGTTCTCCTGCAGGATCTCCTGTCGAGTTCTCCTGCAGGATCTCCTGTCGAGTTCTCCTGCAGGATCTCCTGTCGAGTTCTCCTGCAGGATCTCCTGTCGAGTTCTCCTGCAGGATCTCCTGTCGAGTTCTCCTGCAGGATCTCCTGTCGAGTTCTCCTGCAGGATCTCCTGTCGAGTTCTCCTGCAGGATCTCCTGTCGAGTTCTCCTGCAGGATCTCC